ACATCAGGGCTGTTAGGTCCATCCCATCAGGACTTGCAGTCTGTCCAGTTGGGTTTGTACAGTCAATCCATGGGGGCTGCGTGGTCTGTCCTGTCAGCTTTGTGCAGTCTGTCGCATCAGGGCTCTGCGATCCACCCTGCTGGGGCTCTGCAGTCTGTCCTGGTGGGGCTGTGCAGTCCATCCCATCAGGTTTGCAAAGTTTGTCCCATTAGGATTCAGCACTGATCTGTGCTCTCTTGCTGGACAGTTCCCAGCGCACTGGACAGATTAAAATTGGCAGCATCCGCCCTCCTCGGCACAGGCAGCCTGGGAGCTCAGCAAGGCCCATAGCTGGTACTTCACCTCCCCCTCACTCTCATCTCCCCACTTGGGAGGCAGCTGCTGGCCAGCAGGGCTGGGGGCTCCAGGCAGAGTGCTGTGTGCTGCCTGCAGTGCAGGGGAGGCTCTTTACAGAGTGATGTTTTGGGGAGTGGGAGGAGTTGGAAGGGCATTACTAATTTGCCAGGGACTAATGTCAAGCGCTTGCTGGGGGACAAGAAGCAGGGGATGTCTGTATAGTCAACTTGGGCTGAGTCTGGAAGCTGTTAGCAATACAGGGAACCACACCTCTCCAGCATGTTTCCACAGGCTTCCTCCATGGTCCCCCAGCAAACAGTGGTAGGAAATAGCTACCCAGCTCTAAGCCTGGGACAGAGGCCCAGAGCAGCCATGAGCACTGTGCTGTGTGCCTGCCCTGCCCCCTTTCCTAGCAGCAGGTTTGGCTTCTCCCCCTTTCACCAGCAATGTGATCCCACTTTGATCTCAGCAGGGCTGCAAGGTAGAGCCATGCTCTCACCATTGTCCCTCATGCACGAGCTAAATGGACATGCTTGGCTGCCGAACTGCACCACTGCAAGGCCTGTTTGCCAGAGGACAAGAGGGTGGTAGGGGGTCTCTATGAGGCATCTGGTGGGGGAGAGCACTGAAGGTGCAGGATGCAGACAGACAGTGGCACTTATCTTCCTGCACCACAGTGCTTGAAACAAGATTTAGCTGTGGTCTAGCAGCTGGGAATGCTCAAATCCCTGCCCGCCCTGTGCAGCACAAAGCTACTAGGTTTGCTGGGGAGAGTGTTTGTTTGCTTTGTACCTCCAAGGAAGCATTGGTCTGGTTTTCATGATTGGAAAGGTTTCAGGGGAGCCCAGTCACTCTTCTCCTGGAGGGATGCTCTCCTTTTGTATCTGATGCCACAAATTGTGCAAACCCAACTGGAGGTGGTGGAGCACTGGCAGTGCTGAGCTGAGCACCATTGCTGTTTCTTGGCCACATTCTAGTCCTTCCCCTCCTGACATTGCTGTTCTCTGGTTCCTGCTCTCCCTGTCCCTGCAAGGGTGTTGTCTGGGATTGCAGATGACATAACAAGAAGCAGCAAGTGACTGCAGAAGCCTTCAGTCTCTGGCCCACCACAAGGTTGACTTGAGTTGCAGTAGCAGGGCTCAGCAGTCCAGCCCCAGTGAGCATAATGATCCTGCCAGTGCAGAAGCTGCTGGTGGATGGACTCAGAGATGGGGTGGTAACACTTCAGCAGACACACATCGCAGTCTGCCTGAGGAGAAGAGGGAATTACATGAGACACATCTCCTCCAGCTCCAGCCAGTGGCTGGGTTTGGCACTCCTTGGTACGGCACTGCTTGCTCCAAGCCTGGAAGAGTGGCTCTTTCTCTCCACTGCAGTGACTAGCACATCCCCACTCTCTTTCTTGGAGGGTGAAGTCAGTGCCTGGCCCGCAGGAACCTGCCTTCTCCCTCCAGCCTTGAGTGTGGCCTTGGGCAAGTGGTTTTAAACTGGCCTCTGTTTCCACCTCTGCTCTTGCAACACTTGCCTGCCCGCTGCATTGACGGAGTACTGGGTTCCTGGTGATCTGAGAGCCCAAGGGGTCTCCCTGAAAAGCTCTGCAGTACTGCCAGATAGTAGAAGATACATCGACTAGGGAGACGCAAAGACCACCAAGGGAGCCTCTGAGTTTCAGCAGCATCTCCTTTCTGATCAGCAATGGATGAAGCAGGAAGTAAATGGTACAGAAGTGGCCAGGAATCCTTCTAGGGGAGATCTCTGGGGACTGGTTGAGATCCCTTTCCCTTCTTCCCCTTTGGCTCACTCAGAGTCACAGCATCAGCTCTCCTTTTCCAGAGGAGCTGGCTGCATGGCTGTGCTTGGAAAGGGAGGAGCTTCCCGCCCCATTAGTGGTTTGGCAGTCAGGAAAGAGCAAGCTTTCTTCCAAAGCGACGATTTCTTTTTTTTTTTTTTTTTTTTTTTTTTTTTTTTTTTTTTTTTTTTTTTTTTTTTTTTTTTTTTTTTTTTTTTTTTTTTTTTTTTTTTTTTTTTTTTTTTTTTTTTTTTTTTTGCAAAAGGAAAAAATCCCAGATCATTTCAAACCGACTGTTCCCTGCCTGCCTCCTTCAGAAGGAGCAGGCAGCCGGATAGCCAGGAGCCCCCTGTGTTGGGAGCAGGGGGCTATAAATTAGTAGCAGAGAGTTTGCCACATTGAGTCGTGCCTCTAGCATTGGCCAAGGCTTCGTTCCTGAGAGCAAAGCACAAAACCCAAGTCATCCTGTAATGATTTACTAGTGGGAGAAGGGACGATGCGAGGAGGGGGATCTCTTCCGCCTTCCCTTGCTGCAGCAAAGGACTGATCCTATTGAGAAGAGGCCAGAAAGTCTTGGCTTCGCAGGCAAGCCCTCTCTGTGGTTGGGCAGTAGTTGGCATGGCCCTTCCAGTTAAGTGTGTGCTGGGATGCCTCTCCCTTGGCTGTGCAGACAGGGCAGTGCAGCCGATGCTAGCTGCCCAGCTTGGCTTCTCGGAGAAGATTGCCCCTCTCCCGGTGCCTTGCAGCACTTAAGGCGTTTCCTCAGTAAATGTGAAACCTGGCTCCTTGGCACAGAGCTTTCAAGGCTGAGGATAGGGTATGACTGCTTCATATCTCACTGCTTCATGGGACAGTCCTGCTCTGGTCAGAGCTGGAGGGAAATGAAATGACCTCAGGTCCCTCTTCTATCCTTGAAGCCAACAGCACGTCAGCAGCTCATAACTGGGAGATGTGCCATGTTCTCTGGGAGCAACCCAGCATTACCTAGACCTGCCCTGCAGCTGCAGGCAGAGGAGCCTAGCTAAGCCCTGAGCTTTCTTTCTCTTGCTTTTTCTTTTATTAGCACATGGTCCAGACCTAAACCTCAGTTTCCTGGGGGCAATGCCAGAATTACCTCTTTTGGCAAGTGAGGAGACTCTGGTAGCATGGCAGTGTGACTCAGAGGAGATACAGCCCCAGGCTCGTAATCCCCTCAGAGAAGGAGGTATGCTTGTGGCCAGTGGAATGGCCACTCTGATGGTTTGGGATAGCAGGGAAGGTGGTGCTGACCCCAGGAGCCCCAGCTGAGCCACTGGACATAATCCTGGAGAGCTGCTGCCTGTCACAGAGTGTCCCCACAACATGTTTTCACTGCTGTTCTTTTTCCTGGTGCTGACAGGAAGTGCTTCAGGCTGTGATTTGACGATACTGAGTTTTCTGTTGCTATCATGGCTTACAGATCTCCTCTGCCTCTTGGGACTTCCTGCCCTGTGGTTCAGCAAGATGTGCTACTCCCCACAGTCCCTCCTGGGGCACCCAAACGGTGCTGAAGAGCTGAGTACTGAGCCTCCTTTTTAAAGGGGTTTTCCTAAGTCTGGATCAATTCCCTGCTCTAGCTCCCAGCTGGGCTGACCACCAGAGGAGTGCAGGGAGGTGTGGGAGGCATTGTGGCTGAGCCATCTTGCTGAACAACTTCAGGGCTTGGGGGGATAGCGCTGCCAGCAAATCCTACAGAGATGTAGCCTCTATCAGCCAAAAATGTTTTTTTTCCAGCGCAGATTTTTGCATGCAGGGAGAAGAGGGACAGGTGAGCCTGTTCTCCCTCTGTTCATTGTCACAGGTGTTGTGAGTATGTTCTTGCAAGATAAACTGCCCATGCAGTGGATTTAAGTGGTGAAGAGAGATCAAAAAAGATATTGTCTCATCTCCTGCTCTTTGGCCTGGCTAAACCAGCCAATATTTCTTGTGCATGCCTGGCTGAGGAAGAAAGCCAGCAGCAAGGTGAGAAGGTAGTGCTTGATTAGCATCCCGTCGGGGGAGGCAGCTTCAGCATGGCTGACAGAGGCCCCACTCAGAGAGAGCAGCCACCAAGCAGGCTGCGCTCAATGCCAGCATGTTTGTGCTTCCCATGCCTTTGACATAGCCTGCAGGGTTTAGGGGTGGGCTGGCTCCCATCCGGGAGCTTTGAGAGGTCGATAAATCTTGGCAGCCCAATCATCATGTGAGATGGGAACGCACTGGCCTCAGGTTGGGGGCAAGAAGGACACCTGATGCTCTGGAGTCACAGAAAGGTGAAGGAAAACACAGTGGGGGTCTCAGCCAGCCACGCTAGCATCACTGGGCTAATTTGCCTCTTTCTCTGCTGTGTGACTTGAGCTGCTTCAGCTCGGGGGCATTACCTTGCATGTACGGGGCTGTACAGAAAAGCCTGGTGGCTGCAGGCAAGATGCTGAGCGTTTGTTCCCCCTGCAAAAGGCTCTCAAGGGGCCTCAGAAGTCCCTGTTGTGCCCGAGATCGGCAAGACATTTGTAACAGTCTCAGGGAACATCTGAGCCCAGGTGTCTGGTTTTGACCTCCTTCCTTCCTAAGCCCAGCTTGTTCTGCCACCTTCCCAGGTATTTCATTTCTGCTGAAGTATAGATGAGGGATTGCTGTAAATAGGATGTCACAAATTAACTACTTTCCTTCTCCACTCCCAGGATGCTGTTTCAGTAGAAACTGGGTGGGAAGATGCGCACAAATCAAGGCCTAGGTATCTGGGTCTTCCCCGTCCCTTGCCAACCTCCACATACTGGCTTTGCTGTGCTATTTTAGCCTCTGAGGAGGAGCAAGCATAGGAGCTGCTGTCCAGCTGAGCTGCTGCATGTATTCACACTGCTCTTTGCTTTTCCTCCAGGAAGGACCTGGTTTTCTTGCCCCAGGAGGATGGAGGTCCTGCAGCTCCTGCGCCTGCTCCTTACTGCCTGCATGCTGGGCCTCTCCCAGACAGTGAACCCCTTCGTGGCCCAGCAGACTCCCCCGGACCCTTGCTATGATGAGAATGGTGCTCCTCGCCGCTGCATCCCTGAGTTTGTCAACGCTGCCTTCGGGAAGGAGGTGCAGGCCTCCAGCACATGCGGGAAGCCCCCAACACGGCACTGCAATGCCTCAGATCCCCGCAAAGCCCACCCACCAGCCTACCTCACTGACCTCAACACTGCCTCCAACATGACGTGCTGGCGCTCGGAGACCCTGCACCACTCGCCCCAGAATGTCACCCTCACCCTCTCCCTTGGCAAGAAGTTTGAGGTGGTATATGTCAGTCTCCAGTTCTGCTCGCCCCGTCCCGAGTCCACCGCCATCTTCAAGTCCATGGATTATGGCAAGACATGGGTGCCATACCAGTACTACTCCTCCCAGTGTCGCAAGATCTATGGCAAGCCCAACAAAGCCACTGTCACCAAACAGAACGAGCAGGAGGCCCTCTGCACCGATGGCCTCACTGACCTCTACCCCCTCACTGGGGGCCTCATCGCCTTCAGCACCCTTGATGGGCGGCCCTCTGCCCAAGACTTTGACAACAGCCCTGTGCTCCAGGACTGGGTGACGGCAACTGACATCCGGATCATTTTCAGTCGCCCTCATCTCTTCCGTGACCTGGGGAGTCGTGACAACGAAGAGGAGGATGGAGGCACTGGCTCGTCACCCTATTATTATGCAGTGGGCGAGCTGCAGGTCGGTGGGCGCTGCAAGTGCAATGGGCACGCATCACGCTGTGTGAAGGACAAGGAGCAGAAGCTGGTGTGCGACTGCAAGCACAACACGGAGGGCCCTGAGTGTGACCGCTGTAAGCCCTTCCACTATGACCGCCCCTGGCAGCGGGCCAACGCCAGGGAGGCCAACGAGTGTCTCGGTAAGTGATTCCTCCCTCTCTGCACTGCCTGTCTTATTTTCTTCCTGCAGGCCATAGCCCCAGAGATGAGTTGCAAAGGGAAGAAGTGATGGGATTGAGACAAACTTAAGAATTGCGCTTCTCTTGGGATGTTTTTCAAATTCCTGGTGAGCCTCCGTCTTTTTGGACAGCTGAGTAGGGCTTTAGTGTCTGCTTTGTCTCTGCTTTGGGATATCTATTCTGTAGCTACAGTGACTCAGTGACAAGCCAAAGCACCAAACCCCCCTGGAAAAGTACTGGTGTTTTTCAGAATGTCTGCAAAGGCCGAGGGGGCATCAGCTGTGCTTGCAAAAGGGTGTTTCTCTTGGGTAGCAAACCAGTTGCCCCTGGAGCAAGGGAGGAATCACAGAGGTTCCCCAAAGAGATGTCATTTGGGTCAGGGAGAAGGCAGTGTGGCTTAAAAAAAGCCAGGAGATTAAGGAAATATTTGAAATACCCTGTTTCAACATTTTATCATTCACATTTGGTCTGGCACAGTGCTTTGCGTGGCCATTTTAGCTTATCTGTTCTTAAAAAAGTTTATGTGAATTAAAATGTTGTAATCTAAATGAAACATTTCAAAAGTATCAAAACGACGTTATTCAGTCACTGCGCTTTGAAATTTATTTTTCTATGGGATTTTTGTGGAAGCTTTTCCCTTTTATCCTAATCTGTGATAGGTGGGGGGATGCCAGAGACTTATGAACTCCTGGGAGAGGGAAAAACAGCCCTTCACCTCCTACTGGACCAAAGCCCAGGTCCCAGAGGGTGGCAGAAGGATGGAGACAAGGGAAGCCATACCATTAATCAACCCATGAAAGGCTCAGTGGATGTGCTAGAGGTCAGAGGGACTTGTTAATATTTCTGATCAATGTTTTATTGAGATCCCAGCTGTCAGCTTAAATATATATATTAGAGAAGATTTCATCTAAGAGTGACTAAAAAGGCAGCTATTTCAAAAGAAGTGCTTGAGCTGGTATTGTAAAACACCACATGCCCTGTGGGAATATGTCAGCCCATTTGTTTTCCCGCTTGTCTCAGAAAGACAAGTTTTTGAGCAAAACTTGGAATAAAAAACAAATCTGCACCCCTGGCTGCTGCCACCTCCTTCAGTGGCCTGTGCCCAGCAGAGATCAGACTAGGAAGATTTCAGACTGGCAGATAAATGGGTGGAAAACCAACAGTCTAAAAGGAGGACACTGAAGAGGTAGCGGTTGGGTGCATGTCCCTCCTCATCTGCCTATCAAAGCTGCCACCATGATGGCCACCCTACACCAGACTGGCCTCCTTATGCTTTGTTAAAACAGTGTGATTACAGCAGAGCAACTCTGCTGGAGCTTGCATAAAAGAAGGTAAACTAGAGGAGACTCCAGCCGGGCACTTTCAGAGAAGGAACTGGATTTGGGGAGAACTTTTACAAACCTCCCATCCTTCCCATGAGGCCTGGACCCTAGCAAAAGCTGCTGCTGTGGCTTGGGCACCCTTAGACCAGGTGGCCGGGCTGAACCAGCTGCATGGCCAAGCAGCCCTGTGCAGGGTCGGGAGCCAGGCCAGTGCTCCCCAAGCATCCCTGTGGTGGTCCGCACGCCCTCCCTGCCCCCAGTGAGGCCGCTCCTTTGGCAGATGGGCCTGAAAAGATAAACCAGAGAGAAAAGAAAAATAGGGAGGAGGCGGGGGCACAGAGCGGTCCCTTCAAGACATCCCTGACAAGCCCCGCACACAAAGGCCCTTAGCCGAGCTGCGTGTGAAAGTAGTTTTTCCTGTTGATTTGATCCCCTTCTTTTTCCCTTTCCCCTCTCGGGCTTTGTGCCCTCTCTGAAGGGACCTGAAAGAGCTTCTCCATCACACGCCTCCAAAGGGCTTAACGGCTGAAAGCTGGATTAGCTCTCCGAGCCTTCCCCTCTGTGCTTTTCAACAATAACATCTCCCCAGCCAGCACGAACAGACGCAGCAATTAGCACCAATTAAAAGGAGAGGGCCGCCCGGGAAGTTCCCTTTGCTCAGCCCAGGCTGCGGGGGTTTCCCTGACTCTGACTTCCCCTGCAAGTGCAGCCCTGGACAGAGCCCAGGAATCCATGCCGGATCACTTTCAGATGAAACTGAACCCAGTCATGGGAGCAGTGTGGGAAGGCCTTGGGTGTGAGGTGCTGTTGTGATGAAGAGTCACATGGAGTAGTCGGCATCACACGGAGAGCTGAGGAGGAGGAGGCCAGACCCTGGAGTCCTCGCAGCCCCATGGTAGTCCAGAGCTGGACCAAGAGGCAGAGTTACAGGGTAGTTTACAGCACCCTGAGAGCTGCTCAAGATAGAGCTAAAGGTCTGGTGTAGCTTCTTGACTATGTTGTGACTGTCACCTCTTGACTTGGTGCTCCAATGGTCAGGTCCTTCCCTTGCATAACTCATAGCTGTCCTGCAAAGGGGCTTATCCTTGCCTAATGCCTCCCCCCCTGCAAAGTCTCGTAACTGCTCTGGGGTGGGGGTGAAATATTGTCTTGTAACAACATGTCATGATACTGGGACAGCCGTGCATGACTCTGGAGAAAAGGACAAATAAATCAATCTGAGAAAACCCATCCCAGGTTTTCCTGGAGTTTACACCAGAGGCTGAGCTGGCTCAAGGTGTCAGAGGAAGAGAGAGGACTCAATGAGTGACCACGCGTTTCAGGGAGGAGAGCCCACCAAAACCCTTTTGGTTCTGCTTTTCTTATTTCACAAGAATTTCTGCTTCTTGCCTGTTCTTGGAAATGCAAAGGTGAAAACAAACAATCAAAGATAAAATTTGAGCTTCGATGTAAAGCATGACCATCATGTGGCAATCATAAGGTGGCCATGGTGTTCATAGGAACAAGGGTGGTCACCATACCACACTATTACATGGGCAAATGTGACTTGGGAGTGCAGGTGGGACTTGGGGGTGTTGCAGCCAGGATGTCAAGATTGGATTTTCCAGGGTGCCATGCTGCAAGCTGAAGACAGCCATGCATCAGCAGTGTCCATCCACCATGTGGGCTGGCTGGAGAGAGGTGCCGTTGGCCCATGGGCGCCACAGAACTCTCCTTGTGCCCTAAAAGGCCTGCTCGTCTGGCAATGAGCTCGTCCTGCCAAAAGCAGGACCCCCCCGCTTTCACCCTCCAGTGTGCCTCTCTTCCCAATGCAGTGCCAGGAGCTGCCAGGGCATTATGCTGCCAGGTCTTTTCTTGTGCAAGCCTGTGGAAACAGGCCTGTCATTTGGGTTTCAGGTGGCTATTTCTGGTCTATTAAAACCAAAAAGCAGCTACCAGCTCACAAGCCTTGTGCAAGGAGCAGCCCCTTGGTGCTGAGCTGAAGCCCCATGGGGACTGAAAAGGCCCCATTTCTGAACTTCCATCTGAGATAGGAGACCTGGGGATGGTCCCTGCCCAAAAGGAGAAGGCATTCAGGGCACAGTGGAGAGGTGGGGAATGAGCCTGGTGGCCAGGTTGCCAGCCCATGAGAATCAAGCCCGATCAGACTGATGGGAGAGGAGGGGAGGGAAGGGTCTGTCTTCCTTCAGGTGCATTGTTTTAGGAGGGTTTTCTTCATTTGCCAAACCCAGATAGGACTATTTGTATTAAAACCTGTTTGAAACAGGGGAAAAAGAAGGGCACAAAATGAGAGAGGTTTTCTTCTCCCACCAAGCACCCTCCACCACCACTGAGCCCCCAGTCTTTTAGCATGGGACTGGCTCGGAGAAGGATAATCCCTGCAGAGGAGCCAATGGGAGCAGAATTGCCAAAATCCAGGGACCCCTGTGTGATCCATCAGCTTTACTCTCATAGACCTGTGCCTTCCCTTTCCCTGCTGCCTCTGAGTGTGGCATCTCGCTGAGATGGACTGGCGAGAGGGCTGCCCCAGCTGTCAGCCATGCCTGGGAGAGACAGGGCAACGCTTCCACAAAGCAGCAGCAGGTCTCTGCCAAAGCAGAAGGAGTTGCTTGGTTTGGACTCCCGCTGCCACAGTGAGACTGGTCACTGAGTTGGTGGGCTGTCCTCAAAAACACCCGGTGCTGGAGGGGAACAGATTAGTGCAGTGCAGCCACTGGAAGTAATTGATCCACTCGTTGGTAATTCTGGAGCTCTTGTTCCCATTGTCGCTTCCACGGCTGGAGAGCCTTTCTGAACACTGTACAAAAGGGAAACCTTGCTCCAGCATGCAGAATCCTCTCCACAGAGCAAGAAGATAATACGTGGGGTTTGCTTTGATCTAGGGGCTCTCCAGGGAAGTGGCTGCACTCTCGTGTGAAGACCACGCTGGCCACAGCTCTCTCCACTCCAGGCTGGGTGGCAGAGTGGCTGGGGGGGGGGGAGGGCCACAGCTGATCAATCTGTCACACTAATATCCACAAATGCCACATTCCAGGTGGTGAAGGGGTTTACAGGCACCTGTGTGCTTCATCTATCTCCTTTGCCCTCTCCTTCCCCCACATATATTTTCTTTCTTTTTTTTATCTCAGTGACTTTGATTCAAAATTATCTCGGAAATCCTCATTTTAAAACCAGTGAATTGGCCTGGGCTTTTTTACACTGGTGCAGCCTATGGTCAGATGAGAAGACGATCCGAGTTGCCCATGGTCTGCTGGCCATCACACCTGCAGCCAATTTAAGAACTGTTTCTCCACCAATGAGGCTCTCCTAAGCCTTTCCCCCAGCAAGTGCACTGGAAACCTGTTTGTTCCCAGCAGCCATTGTCGTCCCCAGGAGAGAGCAGATGTAGGCAGGTCAGGGTAGAAGATGCCTTTTAGAGATCTAGGAACAGTGCTAAACAGGCTTGGAGAGCTGGGGAGAAGAGGCTCCCTTCCCCATCTTTCAGGCATCCTAATGCCACCCAGCTCTATAATAGCGCAGCCTTCCCTGGCACCAATGGGCCTTTGCTGTGCAGGGTGCAGTAGACCCACGGAGCTCAGAGCAGGAAAGGAAGTCCGGAGCTGTTTGTGCTGAAGGTTGTGTATGTAGCTGGGGAGAGTT